CACACACACACACACACACACACACACACACACACACATATATATATATATATATATATGATGTCTCTGTTGTCCTTTACTTTGTGTATAGATTTCATGATGAGTGAACCAAGAGAACCAAAATCACTTACAAGACGTCTGGTTCCACTGACGTACATTAACAGTAGAGTGTGTTTTTCCGTCTCCTGTAAAGTCGCCATTTTGGAGATACGAGGTTTTGATCCGACAGCATCGACATATAAACACTGAAGATGTTTTTCAAGGGTTCTTCCGTAGAGACAGCGGTCCCGTACAGTACCAAAAAGGGTTCTGCTACTGTTACTATGTCAAGCTTGTTACTATAACAGAACCCTTTTTGGTGCTAAATAGAACCATGTACAACACATTCTCCATCAGTCTCAAGAACCATTTCACCATGCAGAGAACCTTTTAAGCATGGAGATGGTTCTTTGAGTTCGATACAGACTGTAAAATCATCTCTCTTGCTCGTCCTGCAGTGAATCTCTATTTAGTTTGTTTTGATTCAGTTTTGGGATTTGAAAAAAAAACACGATTTACACTGCATGACAATTTCACAACGAATGGACCAATAGAAAAGCTCCAAAATGACCTCAGTTAAAATCATTTTACTTTAAATAGAATCTTTTTACAGCATTTTATCATCCTAATTTCATTTTGAATTTGATTTTGAATTTGGTTCATTCCTCCTCTGTTCAATCTGTTGTTTTGATCTGGTTCTAATTGTTTTTAATTTGTATTAATTTATTAATTTAATTTGTATTGCTGTGGATTATCTCAGTATGTCCTCCTTTGTAGGGCACTTTGAGTGACCTCAGTATATGAATGGTGCTCTATGAATAAACTTTCCCTGCCCTTAAATTTCCATTAAAAGCTAATAGCTCTGATAGCAAATCAATTCTATTGACAATTCAATTTAAAAGTGATTTTGTAAATGAAGAATGATTTAAGGAAGCGCTTTATTTTAGGAAGCTCCAAATTAGACACATCTAAATTGTTTACTCACTGTAGATCAAAGAGGACCTTTTTTGTGTCCCAGAGCTCAGTGTTCCCTCCAGAGGGAGAACCTCTCTCCCACAGAACCCACTTTCCTCAGCTGCCTGAAACGCCTCGGTGGAATTCCAGCCCTTTTCCTTTGTTACAGGATGACATCATCTCGTAACACAGTCCTTACTGGCGAGCTCCGCCCCCTCACACGGCGCACAACGGCTACTGGAGGAGGAAGAGTGTGTTTCTAACGAGTGGCCATGACTTAGTAAGGCATGGGAACGAGATCCTAATGAGTGGCCACGACTTAGTAAGGCGTTCTATATAGAACCAGTCAACTGTCCATGGTTCTTTATAGCACTAAAAAGGGTTTTGTACGTCAAGCTTATAAACAATAGAAGAGCACTTTTTGGTGCTCTATAGGACAATTTTCAAAAAGGTTCTATACAGAACCATATACAACACATTCTCCATCAATCTGAGGAGCCATTTTCTGATGTAACGAATGCTTTAAGTAAATGGTTCTTTGAGTTCTTCAAGGTTTCTTTAGTAAAGGGAATGGCTGTATTTCTGTGTGGTTCTTCAGCTTGATGGAGAACGTTGCATATAGTACAAAAAGGGTTCTTTTATTGTTACGATGTCAAGCTTGTATACAAAGCAGAACCCTTTTTGGTGCTATACGGAACCATAAACAACACATTCTCTATCAATTTCACCATACAAGAACAATTTAAGCATGAAATGGTTCTACATACAACTCAAGATTCTGTCTAGAACCGTTCCCTTTACTGAAGAACCTCTGAAGAACCATCTTTTTCAGGACTGTAGAATTTAACATAGTTTTTTTTGACCAAAGCAGATGGTTCAGTTTCTTTTATGACTGATGCATCAAGAAAACGAATAAATCGTTAAGTCGCTGAAAGATAAGAACGTTTTATCTTCCTGAGAACCGTATAGTTTCGTCCTGCCATGATGATGCGCCCTCTGACACCCATAATGCAATTTGTTTTCAGAAACACTTCCGTAGCTGTCAAGCTAAGACTAAATGAACAGTTCCTCATTCATTTTCCCCGCTGAGTTTTATGCTCGTATCCTCCATTAAATCAGGCTGAATGCGGATAATTAAATTGCGTTTTTGGTGTCTGAGCTCACGTCCAGCAGGAGTGATTACGGCTCAGCTGGGCGTCGCTCGGCCTTCATAATTACGCTCCGGTATTCATTAGCGAGGGGTCCAGATAAACGCACACAGGCGGCGATAAACTCTCGGGGGTTAGGCTGGGAGCTGGGCTCAGGATCAGGATTAGGTGCTGAGGGATTGCTCTGGTTGTGGTCAGGGTTGAGATTTGAGAGCTGAGGTCAAAGAAATTACACTCCTTTAATTGGTATTGACCCTTTTCATCACGCGGAGGTTCCTTAAAAGGTTCTTATCACCCATTTTAGCAGAGCTCGTTCACAAAACTGCTCAGAGGTTCTTCTGTTCCATCAACTCAAACAACTATGACTGTTTAAAAGAACTTTCTAGCACTGTTGTTTCTAAGAGTGTGGGGTTCAGGCTGAATGTAGGTCTGGAGAGCTGAGGCTTGTGGGTAAAGATGGGGGGTTAGAGTGTTGGGGTTAAAGCAGTAAGGTTGATGTTGAAGGACTGTGTTTGGAGTTTGAGGGTTCAGGCTGGGCTTTGAGATCACAGGGCTGAAGCTGGGATTAAGGGGAACTGGTTTAGAGGTTTTGTGTTGGTTACACTGTTGGGATTAGAGGTTTGGGTTTGGGATTTGAGGGCTAGTTTTGGGATTAGGGTTTGATTGAGAATTGGGGTTTGAAGGTTTGGGACAAGGGTTTTTTGGGCTTATAAGGCTGAGGTTAGAGATTTAGGTTTTGGTTAGAAAATTCTACATGGGGTTAGAAGGTTTAGGTTGAGGTCAGAAGATTAAGGTTGGTGTTAGAAGATTATTGTTGGGGTTAGAAGATTAAGATTGAGGTTGAAAGTTAAGGTTGAGGTTAGAAGGTTGAGGTTGCAGTTAGAAGATTAATGGTGAGATTAGAAGGTTAAAGCTGGGCTTAGAAGTTTGGGTTGGGGATAAAAGATTTAAATTGGGGTTGGAAGATTAAGGTTGGGATTAGAAGATCACGGTTAGGGTTAGAAGGTTAAGATTGGAGTTAGAAGATTGTGGTCGGAGTTGGAAGATTAAGTTTGGAGTTGGAAGATTAAGATTTGGGTTAAAAGATTATGGTTGGGTTTAGAAGACTAAGATTGGGGTTAGAAGATTATGGATGGGGTTAGAAGATTATGGTTGGCGTTAGAAGACTAAGATTGGGGTTAGAAGATTATGGATGGGGTTAGAAGATTATGGTTGGGGTTAGCAGTTTAAGGTCAGGGTTAGAAGTTTAAGGTTGGCGATAGAAGATTATTGTTGGGGTTAGAAGACTAAGATTGGGGTTAGAAGATTATGGTGGGGTTTAGAAGATTAAGGTTGAGGTTAAAAGATTAAAGTTTGGGTTAGAAGGTGAAGGTTGAGGTTGGAAGGTTTAGGTTGCAGTTAGAAGATTAACGCTGAGATTAGAAGGTTGAGCTTTGAAGATTAAGGTTGGGGTTAAAAAATGACACTGAGGTTGAAAGATTCAAGTTGGGGTTAGAAGGTTAAGGTCAGGGTTAGAAGGTTTAGGTTGAGGTTAGAAGGTTTAGGTTGGTGTTAGAAGATTATGGTTTCAGTTGCAGTTAGAAGATTCATGGTCACATTAGAAGATTAAAGTTGAGGTAAGAAGATTAAAGTTGGGGTTAAAAGGTTTAGTTCAGGGTTAGACAGTGTTGTCCAAAATTAGCCCTTGAATTAACCCCCCAGAAAGCTACCCTAAGCCCCCTTTATCCAGTAAGAGCACAACACATATGTTTAATATATATAACATAATAAATTTCAGTAAGAACCGTGTCAAAAAACACATTCCTAAAAGGAAACCTACCTACCGTTTTATTTAAATAGTGTTTTGTCTCTTTGGACCCTAATAATCCATTGGTTTTATTAAACACTGCATTTTCAATGTTTTTAGTGCTCTGCACAAATACTTACCATCTGTTTTGAGACATAATCGCTGCACATGGTGTTTTTTATGAGCCTACACTGCTGAGGTGTATGTGCCGGCATCGTTACCAAGTTTTATTTGACACTGAGAACAAGCCACAGTGTAAAATGATGGTTCTCCTTTGTGCTGGACTGAAGACTCAGTGTTTATGTCCAGAACACAAACAGCTCTCTGTCGAATCTGCTATGAGTAACTGTGATGATAAAGCATCCCGTCTGAAAGAGACGTTACCGTTTCATTAGGTTTTCAGTTTTTGTTTTAAATGCAGTCACTAAAGATTTCTTGATTGTTATAAAAGTAAAATGTGACACGCAAGACAAGCAAAATGTCGCAGACACTAAATTGCATAAACTTGCGGAACGGGTTGGAGTCGCTGTTGGATTCCAGTCGGGACCGAATCCCGAAGCGGTGCTCTGTGTGATGGAGCCGCTGTAACTCACTAATGAAGTGATTTGAGTTTAGAGCGGCTCGTAGCGAAACCCTGAGAGAGGAGCGGCGCCGCGACAGCGCTAACCTGCGGACTCAACACTGCGGAGCCTGCTGGGGGGTTAACATCAAAACCAACCGTCTAACAGCGCGAAAACACGGCCACGGGAGCGCTGGGATCAGAGGAACACACAGTTAATCTACTGGGATAAAGTCGACGACAACAACAACAACAGATCCATGAATGCGCCGCGTTGCTTCGCGCGCTCCAGCGTTCCTCCTCCATCAAACACACAGGAACATCCACACTTTTCATCTCTTATTCCACAGTTTCTCTCAGGCGTAACAGGTTCCTCATCATCAGAACCACTTTACTCATCTACTGCACTCACACGCGCCGGAAATCTGCCTGAGAGGAACCGCTCAGTATCAACACCATCATCATTATCATCATCATAATCATCACCATCATCATCATCAGCACCTCCACTCACCTGCTCCGAGGAGCAGCACCAGCAGGCTCACGCACACCAGCATCCTCCAGAACAGCAGCAGCGGCGTGCCGCTCATCGCCTCTCCCCAACACAGACACAGACACATACACGCTCCCCGCTCTCCACCGTGACCACAGCGCCGGGCAGAGCGACTGTCAGCACGCTATCAGTCCACACGGAGGAGATCAGAGAGAGAGAGGGGGAGGGAGAGAGAGAGAGAGAGAGAGAGAGAGAGAGAGAGGGAGAGAGAGAGAGAGAGAGAGACACGTGATGGAGCGTGCGGACACCGAGGAGGGCGCAGAGGGGAGGAGAGGAGGAGGAAAAAGACAGAGGAGGAAAGAGACGAGGAGATGAGGAATGCAGAGAAAGGAGAGAAGAAAAGAAAAAGGGAAAAGAAAAGAGGAGAGACAACATGAGAAAAGAGGAGAGAAGAAGAAAAGTAAGGAAAGGACAAAAGAGGAGAAAAGAAGGGAGAAGAGGAGAAGTGACGAGGAGAGGAGGGATACAGAGAATGGAGAGAAGAAAAGAAAAGGGGAGAAGGGAAAGAAAAGAGAAGAGAAAAAGAGAAATAAGGAAAGGAGAAAAGAGCAGAAAAGGAATGAAATGAGAAGTGGAGGAGTGGGAGGAGGAGGGGGAGGAGGAGGAGGAGGGGGAGGAGGAGGAGGAGGCACCTCAGGGATTCTGCACTAAAACCTGGAGGTCAGCGCTACAGAACCAAAACAATGAGCCCCAGTTAGCCAGCTGTCTCAGCCCTACAGAGACCCAGCAGAGCAGGACTGACACTGATAAAACTCCCAGCATTCCCTTCTTTACCCATCACTGACCATAAATCATTACCCCACACTGACCACATTCACTACCGAACAGTGACTAACATTCATTACCCAACACTATCATTCACTACCCAACACTGACCACATTCACTACTGAACAGTGACTAACATTCACTACCCAACACTATCATTCACTACCCAACACTGACCACATTCACTACCGAACAGTGACTAACATTCATTACCCAACACTGACCACATTCACTAACGAACCGTGACTAACATTCATTACTCAACACTGACCACATTCACTCCCGAACAGTGACTAACATTCACTACCCAACACTATCATTCATTACTCAACACTGACCACATTCACTAACGAACAGTGACTAACATTCACTACCCAACACTATCATTCATTACTCAACACTGACCACATTCACTAACGAACAGTGACTAACATTCATTACCCAACACTATCATTCATTACTCAACACTGACCACATTCACTACTGAACAGTGACTAACATTCATTACCCAACACTATCATTCACTACCCAACACTGACCACATTCACTAGCGAACAGTAACTAACATTCATTACCCAACACTATCATTCATTACTCAACACTGACCACATTCACTACTGAACAGTGACTAACATTCATTACCCAACACTGACCACATTCACTATTGAACAGTGACTAACATTCATTACCCAACACTGACCACATTCACTACCCAACACTGACCACATTCACTACTGAACAGTGACTAACATTCATTACCCAACACTAACATTCATTACTCAGCACTGACCACATTCACTACTGAACAGTGACTAACATTCATTACCCAACACTATCATTCATTACCCCACACTGACCACATTCACTACTGAACAGTGACTAACATTCATTACCCCCCACACTGACTAACATTCACTACTGAACAATGACTAACATTCATTACTCAACACTGACCACCATTCACTACTGAACAGTGACTAACATTCATTACCCAACACTGACTAACATTCACTACTGAACAGTGACTAACATTCATTACTCAACATTAACATTCATTACCCAACACTGACCACATTCACTACTAAACAGTGACTAACATTCATTACCCAACACTGACCACATTCACTACTGAACAGTGACTAACATTCATTACCCAACACTATCATTCATTACTCAACACTGACACATTCACTACTGAACAGTGACTAACATTCATTACCCAACACTAACATTCATTACCCCACACTATCATTCATTACTCAACATTGACCACATTCACTACTGAACAGTGACTAACATTCACTACCCAACACTAACATTCATTACCCAACACTGACCACATTCACTACTGAACAGTGACTAACATTCACTACTCAACATTAACATTCATTACCCAACACTGACCACATTCACTACTGAACAGTGACTAACATTCATTACCCAACACTATCATTCACTACCCAACACTGAACATCACTCATTACCCAACACTATCATTCATTACTCAACACTGAACACATGCACTACTGAACAGTGACTAACATTCATTACCCAACATTAACATTCATTACCCAACACTGACCACATTCACTACTGAACAGTGACTAACATTCATTACCCAACACTATCATTCATTACTCAACACTGACCACATTCACTAACGAACAGTGACTAATATTCACTACCCAACACTGACCACATTCACTACTGAACAGTGACTAACATTCATTACCCAACACTGACCACATTCACTACTGAACAGTGACTAACTTTCATTACCCAACACTATCATTCACTACCCAACACTGAACAACAGTCACTACTGAACAGTGACTAACATTCATTACCCAACACTATCATTCATTACTCAACACTGACCACATTCACTACTGAACAGTGACTAACTTTCATTACCCAACACTATCATTCATTACTCAACACTGAACACATTCACTACTGAACAGTGACTAACATTCATTACCCAACATTAACATTCATTACCCAACACTGACCACATTCACTACTGAACAGTGACTAACATTCATTACCCAACACTATAAATTATTACTCAACACTGACCACATTCACTACTGAACAGTGACTAACATTCATTACCCAACACTGACCACATTCACTATTGAACAGTGACTAACATTCATTACCCAACACTGACCACATTCACTACCCAACACTGACCACATTCACTACTGAACAGTGACTAACATTCATTACCCAACACTAACATTCATTACTCAGCACTGACCACATTCACTACTGAACAGTGACTAACATTCATTACCCAACACTATCATTCATTACCCCACACTGACCACATTCACTACTGAACAGTGACTAACATTCATTACCCAACACTATCATTCACTACCCAACACTGACCACATTCACTACTGAACAGTGACTAACATTCATTACCCAACACTATCATTCATTACCCCACACTGACCACATTCACTACTGAACAGTGACTAACATTCATTACCCCACACTGACCACATTCACTACTGAACAGTGACTAACATTCATTACCCAACACTGACTAACGTTCACTACTGAACAATGACTAACATTCATTACTCAACACTGACCACCATTCACTACTGAACAGTGACTAACATTCATTACCCAACACTGACTAACATTCACTACTGAACAGTGACTAACATTCATTACTCAACATTACCATTCATTACCCAACACTGACCACATTCACTACTGAACAGTGACTAACATTCATTACCCAACACTGACCACATTCACTACTGAACAGTGACTAACATTCATTACCCAACACTATCATTCATTACTCAACACTGAACACATTCACTACTGAACAGTGACTAACATTCATTACCCAACACTATCATTCATTACTCAACACTGAACAACAGTCACTACCCAACACTGACCACCATTCACTACTGAACAGTGACTAACAATCATTACCCAACACTATCATTCATTACCCCCCACACTGACTGACATTCATTACCCAACACTGACTAGCATTCATTACCCAACACTGGCCATAATTTATTACCCAACACTGACTAAAATTCATTACCCAACACTAATCATCATTCATTACCCAACACTGACCATCATTCATTACCCAACACTGACCATCATTCATTACCCAACATTTACTAACATTCATTACCCAACACAGACTACCATTATGTCCTGATTGGTTTAATGTTAGTTGCTCCGCCTCCTTATTCATATTGGGTTGGTGTTTGTTGTCCCACCTCCTGGCCCTGATTGGTTGGATATTGGTAGTTACTTGACACTGACCATCATTCAATACTCAATGCTGACCATCATTCATTATTCAACACTGACCAACATTCATTACCCAACACTGATCTTCATTACCCAACACTGAGTAACATTCATTACCCAACACTGACAAGCTCTCATTACCTAACACTGACCATCATTCATTACCCAACACTGACAAGCTCTCATTACCCAACACTGACCATCATTCATTACCCAACACTGACAAGCTCTCATTACCCAACACTGACCATCATTCATTACCCAACACTGACAAGCTCTCATTACCCAACACTGACCATCATTCATTACCCAACACTGACAAGCTCTCATTACCCAACACTGACCATCATTCATTACCCAACACTGACAAGCTCTCATTACCCAACATTGAACATCACTCGTTACCTGACACTGACCGTCATTCTTTTTCCAAGACTGTTCTGTCTACTGGTCCACATTAGTTGGATTTTGGTGGTCCCGCCTCCTGGTCCACATTGGTTGGATTTTGGTGGCCCCGCCTCTGCATCCCTATTGGTTGGATGTTGTTTGTTGTTGAGAGAACTTTTCTCTACATTTCACCAAATACTGTAAAACGTGTTCTGAGTCAGAATCACTGAGGATTTCCAATCTTCATTCACTACCCAACACTGTTTCAGTATTTTAAACACTGACCCAACACTGTTTCAGTATTTTAAACACTGACCCAACACTGTTTCAATATTTTAAACACTGACCCAACACTGTTTCAGTATTTTAAACACTGACCCAACACTGTTTCAGTATTTTAAACATTGACCCAACACTGTTTCAGTATTTTAAACACTGACCCAACACTGTTTCAGTATTTTAAACATTGACCCAACACTGTTTCAGCATTTTAAACACTGACCCAACACTGTTTCAGTATTTTAAACATTGACCCAACACTGTTTCAGTATTTTAAACACTGACCCAACACTGTTTCAGTATTTTAAACATTGACCCAACACTGT